GTTTCAGACTGAAGGCCAGCCTAAACCCTAAACCCTAAACCCTCAACCCTAAACCCTAAACCCTAAACCCTAAACCCTAAACCCTAAACCCTAAACCCTAAACCCTAAATCATAAAGCCTAAATCCTAAACCCTAATAAGCTTGCCTGGCCTCTGCGGCCGAAGAGAGCCGCTGCACTTCCGCCACCTCTCAGGGATTAGCCGAGAAAGGGCCTAGCTTAGGTTTTAGGGGTTTAGGGGTTTAGGGGTTTAGGTTTTAGGGGTTTTAGGGACTAGGGTTTAGGGTTTAGGGTTTCGGGTTTAGGAGTTTAGGCTTTAGGGATTCTGAGGGTTACGTTCTGAGGGTTTAGGCTGGGTTTGTTGATTTGTTGGTCGTAGTGCCATCCAGGTTTAAAGGGCTTAGAATCTCATGGCTTTCAGATAGCTTGTCCCGGCCTACTGGGAGGGCGAAGGGGTGGCAATGTCGATGAAGTCGCACATTAGGGTTCAGGGTTTAGGGATGCTTTCCTTCTGTTTCTTCTGAGTTTGGTTCTTGGAACATCGCCGCATATCCTCGCAGTGCCCAAAGACACGTCTTCTGCCCGGCCATACTGAAGATCAGACGACGATGATGATAATGATGATGAATACCATTACTGTTGAGATGATTACGACTACTGTAACTACTATTATTACAACAATAATATTACTACTAATGTTATGCTAGTTACTATGCGTAATATTACGATAATTACTATTATTACCAAATGTATTAGTATCATAGCAAATTGGATTATGAGATGATGTTGGTGATGTAGGTACGTAGGGTATATCATGGGGTCTGGAAGCGCAGGGTTTAGGGTCCATCGGTTTAGGGCTCAGGGTTTAGGGTTTAGGGTTTAGGGTATAGGGCTTAGGGGTTAGGGTTTAGGGCTTGGGGTTTAGTAGGATGTAGGGTGCAGTAACTCTCACAGGCCCAGGGTTTAGGGTGCTGCATCTCGTCTTCCAAGCTTGCTGCGCCTGCTCCTCGGACTTTAAGGTGCAAGGTAGGAGGTTTCAGGCTTCGACTACAGAGGCCCTCGGGTTGAGGGTTTGGGGCCTTAGGGTTTGGGGTTTGGGGTTTAGGGCCTTAGGGCTTAGGGTTTGGGGTCTTAGGGTTTAGGGTTTAGGGTTGACGTTAGGGTTGTCTCTTCGACTCTTCGATCTCCACTTCGGCACGAAGTGGGGTTGTAAGGTTCGAGAACACCTGCCCCCACACCGAGAATTGAACCCGGTGACTCCATGCTAACCCTAAACCCTAAACCCTAAACCCTAAACCCTGTTTTCGGATTATCTGAACCCAAATTCCCAAACCCGCAACTGCAAAGCCTAAGCTCTCTGAGGCTGCGGCGGCCGCGCGGAAAGCAAGCAGGGCCACTTTGGCTCCCTTCGGGCATGTTACATTACCGCTCTGCAAGGGCGCGAGATGTATTGAAGTAGTCAGTAGCCCCCCGAAACCCTAAACCCTAAACCCTAAACCCATGTATTGAAGTAGTTAGTAGCCCCGGTAAACCCTAAACCCCCGATGGGTAAACGGTACATGGGTAGTTGTCAAAATTATGGTTCCTTTTGGGGTACCCTAAGAATAGGTGCCGTATTATAATAAGGACCCTAAACCCTAAACCCTAAACCCTAAACCCTAATTTTGACAACCACCCATATGGTTTCCTCACTCCCCGGCAGAGCCTTCGGCGTGCCTCCCTCCTCGGGCTTCACTCGGCTGTCTTCCTT